CTTACAGCTTGAGCCTAAGTGTGTCGCAGGATACCCTCTAGGTGATAGTTCTTGATTACTTTTTGATAAATAATTCGTTCTTATTGCGAAATGGGAGCACTATTTATCAATCTGTAATAAAAGACGTGAGGAAATTCTGTCTTTTTTAAAGACTAAAATTTTTGAGGCGAAATACCCAAAAAGAAGTTTGTAAAAAATGAATCCGCCTCAACAATATAGAACTTATCTACAACTTGGATAGTCCTTGTCAATAATAACATTAATTTGTCAAACTGTGACTTACTTTGAATTTCCTTTCACGAATTTGCGGATATGCGATTAGTTCAGGGGAAATGCTATAGTAACATAGCAGAAGCTGAAAGAACTCACGCCAATAAAGGGCTGACACTTTCCCAAGCACCAAATAAATACCGAGGAAGGGCTACATTCCTACCACGTTTGTACGATACACACAGCACAAGGAGCACAAATGGAGCAGCAGTTAATTAACTGAATACGACAAGCTGCTAGATAAGAGTGGATAATAAGGAGATAAGGAGGCACTAGCTTGCTTGGAGTTACCCATTCAAATGTTTGATGTGCTATGGATTATTTATGTAAACACCAAACCCCGCAGAATTCGAGGTTATGGGAACAGGTTGACATTTCGAAAGTACGTTGCGCAGTCAACGAATCTTGTTGAATTTACCGTTTATCCTTGTCTATCCTATTGTCACTGTGTAATTCCAGGGTTACCGCAGTTTTAAATAATTACGGAGCAACAGATTACCTTGAAAAACATTGCTGCCGTATCTCTGATATAGTTTTTTGCAAATTTCTCAGTTTTTAGTAACAATTAACTTCTTTTACTATTTTTTCTGTACTCATATGACAGCGCCAGACAACACCTCCAGAGGAATGACGCCAATTTTGAATCACCCTGTATACATATTTTCCACTTGCCCAATGGTGTAGGTACACTGCATTTGAAACCCTCTCATTTTGTGTTCGCAGCAAGCTGAAGGCGAAGACGAACTGAAGAAGAGGCAACTGATGGAGTTGGCGATCATCAACGGCACCTACAGAGATTCCAGTTCCAAAGCTGCGTCAGCTACAGGTATTTTTTTACTAAGTAATCGATCATTGACGAGTTGGTCGCAAATCTTCAAGCGATGCTTGCTGTAAGAAAGTATCGCCGTACCGGCTGGTACTTTCTCGGCAGCACCACTTCTACTCCATTTGATTTTGGGAGCGCAAACGTTTGGTCTGAGTGTAAATTCTTATTCAAATTTCGTGTTGAACTTGATTGTTGTTGTCCGTGTCTGTTACCAATACTAACGCCTATAACAGTCTTCTGGTTAAGCCCGAGTTCAGTCTCCACTGATGTAGACCTCTCAACTCTTGCAGCCGCCGACGAAGAGTGGCGGCGAGTGGCCGCCGCCGCTGTGGAAACTCAGCGACTTCTCTCGCCGGGCATGCCCGGTTTAGGCTCGCAAATGCGGGCTCCAGCGACTCCTTTGGGCGCTCCATTGATACTCAGCCCTCGCATGTCTGTGCCGACGACAGCCGCCAGCATTCTCAATGGATCTGCGCCGCCTGGGTGAGTACTGGACAGTCACAGCAACTGTCTATCCGAGTTTCCTCCTAATAACCACTAACTCTTCTATGCCCCACAGACCAACCATGGAAAACACTTAGGTTTGTATCAAAACAGTTGGGCGATTGCTTGGCACTGGTGAGTTTGGCCGGCTTGGGAAGGAAATTCGTTTCCACAATGGCCTGAAAGCCTGAAAAACTCGTCAGCTGCCAGCAATGCCTCGTTGGTTCGTTTTCTTTTTGTTTGCTGCATCAATTGCATTTAGGGAAAGTTTCCATTTTTGTTTTGATTCATTTTCCATTCAATTTTTTTCTTACAGTGGTTTTTTTCTCATCACATTTCTCAAGATATCAGTTTGCAATCAACTATTTTCCGGCCGAGTTGGCATATAGGCCCACTGACAGATGGCGTCTATGCCTGTACGTGGGGAATAAGGCCTACTACATCACAAATCGACAGTTATATGCCAGTAGATGATTTTTTCAATATGGTGTGATCGAAGTGAAAATGTTGCAGCGAGCCAACCTTCTAGTGTTGAAAGAAATGGTTTATTACCACGGCCTAAACGCGTTTTTCCACGAAAACTTTCACTTAGCAGGCAGTTTGCCTATTTGCAGCGGTTTTTTTAGGATCCCTAGTTTCAATTTGAAACTTTAGGCTTCAGGGTTTTTTCGTATCGTTTCTTTCCAATCTTTTGCTCAGCTTCTGGTAACTGAAACAACAGTATGCTAAGCTACTCGATTTCGGGGATCGGCTACTCGATCGGAGCAAAAGAAGACGATCTGACCTAACTTTTAGTAAGGAAAAAGTCTGGCTTAGTTTTTCTGGAAAGTTATCCTTGTTCAATATCGATATATTTGTCAGAATTTTGCGATTTTTAGGATTTTACATACAACTTCAAATATAGTCGATTGCCAAAAATCAGCCTGTTCTTCGATTTAAATGAAATTCGGTCTGTAGATTCGTGAAGGTTTTCTATTCACCGAGTAGAAATTTTCACTCGCTACTCGCACAATTTTGAAAGTTATGAATTTTTTTTGTCAGCATGTAGCGATTTTTAGGATTTTACATACAACTTCAAATCTAGTCGATTGCCAAAAATCAGCCTGTTTTTCGATTTGAATCAAATTCGGTCTGTAGATTCGTGAATGTTTTGTGTTCATCGAGTAGAAATTTTAACTCGCTACTCGCACAAGCTTGAAAGTTATGAATTTTT